AATCTGTCAGAGAATTATAGCAACATTGTTTCTCTGTGCTGGTCCTTATCTACCTGAAAGCTCTAGTTGATTCTTGGGGGAAAAAAGACCAGCCAGGACTCTTCCTTTCTCAAGCTGCTGCTACACTACTTGAACGAGAACGCTCCTTGGTTATATGGGCACTTCTATCCTCCCCGGCCTCCCCTGTTAATGTCTAGGGCAGGCAGAGTAACCCAAAGGAATCTGTATACAGGCAGACATCACCCACAATGGCTAGGCTGCTCGTCCTGCTGTGGTATGTACAGCCAAGAGCAGGGGCTATCAGAGCAGTGCTTCTGGAAGAGAACCCACTACCTGCTTCAAGGCATGAACCCACACATGGTTGTCAAGAGACAGCTGGAGGCAGAATGGAAGGACCAGGAACCTCCAACCACACACATAGTTATCAAATCTTGACTCTTAGTGAACTGCTGCTCTCTCATGTACAGGAGGAGGACAAGCACATCACTAGACAGAGGATGCAGAACAGTAAGTACATAACAATAACAATTCAGGGATAGAGGTGAAGAGGAAGAGTCATTGGCCCCAACTCACAGGCAACCTTTGATAACAAAGCAAGCTTCTTTGATAACATGAAGTTATTACACTGCTCAGTTGCAGTGTCTTCATGTCCCTGGGGTCCAAGGAAATGGGAGTCAGAAGAAAGCTAAACCTTCAGGCAGCTCTGCTGGCTGATTATTAGAGTCCCTCAGAACTGCCCAAGGGATGAGTTCTCTGCTGGGTGGAATCAGGATGCCATTGACAGCTGAGAATATGGGCAGCATCTGGACCTTGCTACCACAGCCCCAGGGCAGGCCAGTTCCTTCCAGATGCTGGCATATCCATCCATCTAGCTTGCAGGGACAGAGGACCCCTGAGTGGGTGCACAATCCATGACAGAACTGACAGCTCAGCTTCCTATTGTCATCAAGAAGTGGTAACAAGATGCCCCAGGAAACTGCCTAGACCTGATACCAGCCATCCTCATCTGTGAAGGAAAACTCCAAAACATAGAAAGATAAAGCCCCAAGGGACATGTGTGTGCACTGGTATCTAAGCCAAAGTCATCACAGTCAAAGGCAACTTTTATTTCCTGGGACAAGAAAGAACCAAATACGGCATCTTCCCCCAAAGTTCTCTCTTGGCACAGCTCTGTGAAATGCTAGTGAGACACAGTAAGACACAGCCTTTACCCCTGCTATACAGACAGGGGCTCAAAAGAAGTTAACACAGAAAACACAAATTCTAAGTCTGCCTGGCCCTACCCCCCAAAAGAAAATAATCAATGGACCCCCTATATCCAAGTGATTGTTCTATTTAAAGAAATCTCTCATTCTTCTTATGGATGCAATAATTTACTTCAGGCCACAGAGTAACAACAAGTCCTCCTCCTACCTCCACCCCACAGGATGAGAGAGAGAGAGAGAGAGAGAGAGAGAGAGAGAGAGAGAGAGAGAGAGAGAGAGAGAGAGAGAGTCCAATTCAATGCTCCAGAGACTAAGGCTAAAATCAGTTTCTGGGTTGGAACCAAAAGCCTTGAACCTTTAGCAACCACACCTTTCCTTGAGGCCTGGCTTGGACCAGGATACAAAGACCATGGGGAACCTACTAAATTCTGTTGCCCTTGCCTGCACTTAAGAATGCTTAGAGCTAGACAGCCAAAGTCAAGCTGGTCCATGCTAAATTATTCACTGAATTCAATTATGAAGACATTTTAAGACCTGAGTTAAAATCTAGACTCTACACCTTATTAGCTCTATGACCAGGGCCAGTTCTCTAATATTAAGCAAGCAACTACCAAGACCTATCATGGAGTGAAGACTACTTTCTATGACCCGTAACCCTCCACAGACACCTGGGGTCACATCAACACCTGCTTTCCCTCATCAGGCTTTAGCTGTCCATTCCTAACATATGTCACCCAAGAGCTTGGCTTCAAAAGGCCCCAGAAACAGAAATTGTGTACTGGACCACAGGCTTGGTTACTAACACAGGTGCTCATATCCCAGCAGCCTCCTCCTCCCTGGTAAAGAGTGGGTTATGGCAACAGGAACATCAGTTTGGCTGGCTTCCTGCATGGGATAAGTAAGGCTTGTGGCTGATAGGATTCACTAAAATTACTCTTCTAAAAGTGACAAATAAGGGACAAAAATAGGCTTTATTGAGCACTTGTTAAATACAGATGTGCCTTTCTAGAATAATCAACAGGACAAGCTGGCTTTGTGTTAAAGACAACTACACAATGCTCATAGAGAAGAAAGCTACCAGCACCAGGTGCCCCACCTCAGCTCAATACCCCTAAAACGCAGTGTTTCACTGAGACAGTTTGTTGGAGCACTTTCACAGCCCCTGTCAAATATGCACGGTTAATTCCATTTTGTGTAATAAAACCAAGAGTGGTAAAACACTCTGCCTGATGATCACAGCCAATAAACCACAGAAATAAGTAAAACTCAATTAATTTTATCTCTCCAAAGGAATTCTACCTTTCTAGTCCAATGTGAAGTTTCTCCCTCTTTTCAATGTTACAAAGCATCAACAACAGTAACTACTCATTCAGCACTTACCTACATTTTATTCAGTTGAGTTTTCCCATGTTGGTCCTAGGGCCAGTTATGCTTAAATTCCTCAGCCATGCCAAGACTAACCGAAAGTTACCTAGAGACCAGAATATTCAAGTTCTGTCCCTTTATTTGGGACCATCCGCAATCAAATCCCTTTCTCTCTAGGGTTCTAGCTACCACACTTCTCAGATCCTCTTTCCCAGCAAATTCCTCAGAGAGAGCTATTACTGCTTCTCAACCCACCATCTAGCTTGGTGATGACAATAGGACGCCATTTGCGTTTTCCACTTTCATTCACCCTCAGTATACAATGGCGTTTTCCAAAAGTTACATGATGAGTTGTCTGTACCTCATTATAATGAAGATGCAAATGAGGTTACTAAAGCAAGAATTAGATTTGCAAAAATAATGCTAGTCATCTTTGGTTTTTTTGAAAAGTTATCTTTCATAAAATAAAACTAAGAAATATTTAGCTGGTATATTGTTATTAATCCAGTCATCTCTCTAAAGAGAGCACTAAAAAATGTGTTTCTTGGCGCTGAAGAGAGAGCCCAGTAGTTAAGTGGCTTGCTGTTCTTCCTCCCAGGGACCCGAGTTTGGGTTCTAAGCACCTAAGTCGGGTGGCTCACCCAGCTTCAAGGGCCCATCACCCTCTTCTGGCTAATAAGATGGCCAACTAATCCACCTGACTCCTTGTTTTCTTTTCATACATACATCCTCCTCTCCTAGTTCACTATTCAGTTAGCAGATCACTGCAATACTTGCTATCACTGAGATAGCACCCCCCACCCCACCCCCAGTCCCCAAAGTCTTCAAGATGCAGGCCCTCAACTATTAGCATGTGCTCAGAGGGCATTGATGGGGGGGGGGGGATAGAGGTGGGGGGATGGATGACCCTGAAACACTTAGCCTTTCCTAACAGAAGACCAGTGTTCCACAGCCTGTTTTCAATATGAAATATAAACTTAGAAAGAGCAAAGTTTTGATTTTGCCTACTACTGTATCATTTATGCCTAAAACAGTATCTAGCAAAATGTTTCCCAATAAAAATGCTGGAGGAATTAGTCTGGCCACAGGAAAGGAAACTAGGTCGAAGGCCCTTTCTAACTCTAGCTGAGCAGATATGGCTCATCTGACAACATAACTGAAGCCTGAGGGACCAGTCACACAGCTGGGCCCAGGCCTACAATTCAAAGTGTTCTGCAAGGACAAGGCAAAACAGGCCAGTCAAACTGGCACCAGAAGCACAGCACCGATTAGTCAACAAAATGAACAGACCAAAGAGTTTGGGGGACACACCCAAAGAGAAGCCCCTAACTTTTCCCTCGTCCTCTCAGAGTCACTTATTTCCTGTAAATGAAGTCACTTCTCTTCAGCACAAATCTCAACCATCCAAATAAGGGCCCAGATCTCAACTAGTAGGACATTCCCATAATCCTAACCTAAATTCAGGCTCTTTTCCCAATGACAATTGTCATTGTTCTCGTATACAAGGAAAATTTGAATTCCAAGAGGTCTTTTCAAATGCAAAGGCTAAGACGGAAGTGCAAAGCTAAGGTAAGAAACAGTCTTGGAGCACTAGCCAGCCATCTCCACTGAGAACAAGACAGGTGTAAGCTGCTGGGCTCAGTACAAATCATCTCCTGCAGAGGTGTGGAGGAACAGAGGAGCCAGGCCCTGTGCCTGTTAGCTATCCCTGTAAACAATGAAACCAGCACCACCCCACCACTGCATCTTGGAATCCAGGAAAAGAGGGCAAATGAATTCAGGTTAAGATATACCTACCCTTAGTTTAATGGGAAATGGGATAAATGGCTTATAATATGAGTAATATCTAGCATATATGTTGGTCAATTTCTAATGTTCTGTCTTGTCCACACCTCAGACTCTTGATCCAGTCTAACTGTTCTGGGTAGAAAAATCAAACATCTCTGGACGCTCTGTTCTTCATCCTAGCTGGTTCCTGTCCTCTTCCATCTCTAATACTATCTATACATATTCCACACTAACCCAAATTGATGTATTCTCTCCAAGTCCTCCAGCATCAACTCCCACATGGATAGAACTGGGTACATGAACAGCAAACACACAGCTGGGACAAAGTTCCTTCTCTGAAAAATGGATTCCTTTCACCACCATTTTACAGCGAGTATTTGTTACTTGATGATGATAATAAAGTCATTTCTAAAGATCTTGGGAGACCTGACTCATATAATTTCCTCTTAAAGATTTCACTTCCCACTTTGTACTCAAATAATCTGACCTATGTCTACTCACCATGACCTGGGAGCTAATGTGCACCAACAAGACTTACTTCTTCCCGGCCTGCACTCTCTCTACAACTCCAGAGTTCAACCCAGTACAGGACACAGCCAGCCCAGGGAGTGAGTGTATGCACGATAATAGGAGAGCACTCACCTAGTTTTAAAACACCAAGATGGTCAGCCCTGGAGTTTAAGCAGCACATGTGACCTGGTCCATTCGGGTTTCAAGTTCAAAAGCATCAGGTCGGTCCTGTGGGTTAGCAGCTAACATGTCTTTCAAGAGCTGCTTCACCCCCTCAGACATGGAAGTCCTACGTTTCTGGGGGATATGCAACTCCATCTTTGGGTTTTCTAGCAGCGCCTCACCAACAGGGACGATCTCAGTCCCCTGTTTAATGTAGGTCCCCAGGAGCTCCTTCTTGGTTTCAGAGTCAATAAAAGTAATTCTTTCTATCATTGCCCAGATGATAATGCCCAGGGCAAAGATGTCCGCCTTGGCTGTATAATGTCCCTCCCAGACTTCGGGAGCCATGTAGAAGTCTGAGCCACAAGCTGAGGACAGCCAGTATTTATTCACATTCACATTTTTGTTATCTTGATTGCCCTCTTTGCCTCGAGGTGCCAGCCCTGCACAGACCTTGCTCAGTCCAAAGTCTGCCACCTTGAGGATGGGGGTGCCAGATCGCTCGGTGATGAGGATGTTGTCTGGCTTTAGGTCCCTGTGCACGATGTGGTTTTTGTGCAGGAAGGCAATGGCGCTTGTAAGCTGTAGCATGAAGCTTTTGTTGGTGGCTGGGTCTGGTCTCCGGGACAGGACATACTGATTGAGGTCTCCACCTTCACAGTACTCCATGACAAACCAGAGATAGCAGGGCTCCTCAGCATAGCCCAGGATCCTTTCTCCTAAACCAAAGGACAGGAAAGAGCTTGAGTGGACAGTCACATCACTATAGTAAGGAAGACAGTGATAAATAATTGTGCCAAGAGGACCTACACAACTGGCACCAAGCAAATTCTATCCACACAGTCCACTTCTACCCATACAGAACAAGTCAAGGTATGGCAGAGGCATTGGGGCCTGGTGTCAAGCACCTAGCGTTAACTGCCATCTAATTGGCTTTGAGGCCATTTTGTTTATTTATAATTTTTCAAACTGATGTACAAGTCTATCCATTCTTTGTAGGGCTGTTGAAATGATGAGAATAAAAAGCATACAAAAAAAAAAAAAAAAAGCTTTGTAAAATGTGTGCTGTTTCTGCTATTACCATTTGGTTACTGGCCCAGCTTCTATGACTGCTAAATCATACCAGGCCCATGTTCTTTGTTCGTCTTTCCTGATGCACTTACATATTCTTATTAACAAAAACAATGACATTATGGTTTTATTTCAGATGTACACTCCAATTCATGCACTCTTCTGCTAGTTCACCACATGTCTAGTCCAAGCTAGGTCTATATGCCTCTGGCTCTATGAGGCTTGGTTGCACAGGTACCTCACAGCAATTATCATTTATCCTTAAGTGCAGTGTTGGTTATAAGGTCAACCTCTACCGACAACCAGTACACATGCAAGAACTCCAGGCAGAGATGAGAAAGACAATGGACAAGTGGACCAGGAAGGTCTAAATAAATGGGAGATATGGGTAGGAAAATTTAGCTTGCTGGAGCAGTGAACTCTGAAGCAAACGCATAAGGCAATTAAGTATTGGGCTGTGTAGGTTCAAAACCAAGAAAGACTATACAGATTGACTGGTCATGTGTTAAGTGAGTCAAGACCTGAAAACAGGTCCCTTAGCTCAAAGTATGCTATGTCCCAAAAGACAAGGCTAACACTTCCCCAGCCTCTGGAAGGAGGCTCTTTTTCCTAGCCATTTACTACAGTATTACACTATAGTGATTCAATAAATAAGCCAGATGAGTCTCTGCTTCCCCAATAGCCCTTAAACCACTAAGGTACAAAGTCTACAAAAGCCAGAGATAGGAGGAGACATGACAAAAGTTTTTGGTTTTAACCACAATCTGACAGAACTCACTTCCCATGTAATTGTACAATTTGTTTATATTAGTCATAATCAAAGTAATACTGACAGAACCAGTTCAGGGCACATGGCTTCTTTTACAATCAGTGATCTGCTCCCTCACCCCCACTCCCTGCTTTATAATCCTCTTTTGGTCACTGGAAAGCAGGCTGAGTTTAGTTTACCTTATTAAAAAAAAAAACCAAAAAAAAAAAAAAACTGAAAAATGAACCCAGAACTCACAACCTGAAGCCCAAACCCATCTAGATGGTGAGAGACAGACAGAAAAGGACAGCAAGAAATGCTCCCCAACAGTACAGCCAGGGAATAAGGCATCAAATTCCTTCTGCAAAGACCACATCAGAGAGCAACAAAACTCCTAGTAGGAGATATGGGTAGGGAAATTATTATTTTATACACAAAGCTGGTAACTATGGTAACTAAGGGGAATAAAAGAAAACAAAGTTGGCCAAAGGAACTACAACACAGATCCAAGTTGTAAGAATCCAGGGAAAGGCTGGAGCGGTGGTGACACATGCCTTTAATCCCAGGTGGATCTCTGAGTTTGAGGCCAGCCTGGTCTACAGAGTGAGTTCCAGGCCAGCCAGGGGAAGAAAAAAGTTAGGTTAAAAGTGCCCTAAGCTAGTCTACGGGTGGGGTAGACAGTCTTAAGTGGCTGAAGAGCCCTTTGACAGAAATGCGGGCAGAAGCAGCATTCTCAGAACCCATTCAACATCACTGACCAAGATAAATGGATTACTTCTCTGAGCAAGCAAGGGTCTGGGCTTCCTTCAGGGGAAGCATGCTTTCCTGGCACATCTTTTTATGCAAGAGTCCCAGCTGTCCACACAGAGCACAGCAGAGACACATTAGGATACTGTCCTTCCTTCAAGGACTACCTGCCTGGCAGACCTCTGCTAACTCATGACCAAGACCAAGGAAGAATTTTATGGAGAAGCAAACCAAAATGAAAACAGGACAAGCACAGACCAAGAAATAGAATCTGAGTGACTGCAGACCCCAACTCTACCCTCTGCTCTAATGAATTATTAGCTCGTTGGCACAAATAAAAGGTAACCAGAACCTTGGGAAAATCCCTGAACTCTGAGCTTCAGAATTCTTCCCATCAAATCTGAGAATTTAACATTACCCGACAAGGTCCAATGAACTAAGTCACAGGTGTGGAACACCTTTTACAGATCATAAGATACTTTTAGAGAATTATCTACTAACCATCACTAACATACTCATTACCATCCAAACTCAGGTCCCTTAAAGTCAGTGGGTGTTGGGGGCGGGGCGGGGGTTGGCATGCAACTACAGAAACCAGAAGAGGGCATCATATCCCCAGAGCTGGAGTTAGAGGTAGCTGTAAGCCACCGAACATGGTTGCTGGGAACCACACTGAGGTCCTCTGGAAGAATCCTCTTAACCTCTGCACCCTCTCTCCAGCCCTATTTGTTTTGTTTTTGAGACAGTCTTGATATGTAGCCCAGGCTATGACCAGTACTGGAATTACAGGTACGCCACTACACTCAGCTTGGAAATCATTGATTTCCCAGTACTATACAGGTCAGAGATTATGTTACATGTTATGCAAAACAGGTAATTAGAACCAAAAAGAAAGGTAGATTGCTCCAACTACAGACACATCTCATTCCTTGGGCTGTGACAACTGAAGTCTATATTCTAGCCCACAGAGGTCAAGTTGTGCAAGGGCATATTTTGGACAATGGATGAACAAGTTCCCTGTGAAGGCTGAGGGGCAGGGAAGACAGATGAGCAGCTAAGAAGTCATCCACTAGGAGGCTCTAAAACTGAATGAGGACAGCCAAGGGAGGAAGCTGGAAAGGGTCAGGGTAAAAGATTAAGGTCTACATCAGAATTTAGTAACTAATCTCCTGTGATAATCAAGGAATTCAAAGCATTCTCTGGGAACTGTCTTCATTCCACACTGTAATCCTGATAACTACGCCCTTAATCCTGACAACTACACCCTATTTTCGGGTGAGAAGACTGAGGCTCAAAAGATTAACTACTTGTCTGCAGTCTTGAAGCAAGTGGGGGCAAGATTCAGAAGTCCTCCCTCATGGTGCTAGCAGCAATTTCACACTTGAATATTGTTTTCCTTGCTATACACTTATTATATGCAGGTTCTTGCATACACCAAGCAACTTAAGCTTCATCAACTATAGAAACTACAGATTCCTTTTTATGGTACAGAATTTTGATTGACTTAAATGTGCTTTGTGAGAGGTACTCATCAGGATGCAACTAAATTAGGATGGAGAATTTGAGTCACTCAAGAGGATTTCTAGCCCTAAGGATAGGGCTGAAGGGCAAATTCAAGGTGAACTGATACTCTACAAGGGAAGTTAAGCTCTCCCTGAGAGTTTACACTATTAAAAACCTTACCCAATGCAACCCCAATTAACCAATGTTCTCAATTAAGACAGGGTGGCTTCTATCTCCTGGGGATGGCTCCTAAAATCCCAACACATAGAAGGAAAACACTTGGTAGCAAAAGAAAGTCTGTACAATTGCCTCCAAGGCATCCAAGAACAGGTCAGAAAGCAGGTGCAGTGTCTGGCTGCTGAGGTACATGGAAGACACCAATAGGAAGTGGTGCAATAAGCACCATATAAACCATAATTCAATACAAACAGCGGCAATTAAGATAGATTAATACATTAGTACTAAATCCTATTAGTAAAGTGTAATTACACCCATTTTTATAAGACAACAACAAAACACAATTCTGAACTTGAAGCCACATTCAAGCATACCCCCTTAGCAGTTTTTCAGAAGGTCTGTACTTGAATGCTGAGTTGGGTTACTTGTTTAGCTATTTTACACTATACAAGACACTCATAGTATCCATTTCAAAAGATGGTCATGAAGGCAGAATGAGCTGTTATGAAGCCTTTACACAGCACTTGACACATAGCATCAAGGTTTTGTCTCTCAGACAGGGCCTTACTCTGCCCAAACTGATATAGGACTCACTCTGTTGTCCTGGCTGACCTTGGACTCAAAGCAATCTTCCTACCTCTTTCTCCAAGTGCTGGGATTATGATGAGAGCCACCACAACTAGCTACATCCAGTAAATTTTAGTAAAATTGAGAGTAAAACCTTTGGACCCTAAATCCATTTTTCCACTGTATCCCATTAATTTTGAAAGTCACCAAATGCCACTCTTATCTATGTCAAAATAGCCAGACTATCCAATTCTGTCTACTCTTGGAAGGTCTCTAAATTCCAAGGTCAAATCACAGAAAGAGAATTCAGAGTTGCTTTGTTGAAGCCTAGGCAAAAGATGACTACCCTTCTTGGAGCACTTTAGGCTGGCCTCCTTAAGGCACTCAATGGCCAGGAAGCTTGTAGTTAATTCACTTGCAAACTCAGGTCCCCTATACTAGGTTGTCTCACATCAGCTACTTTTGTTCCTGCTTTGCTAGGCCACTAATGAAACTCTCAAGAACCTGTTTATTAGGATGCCACCACTTGTGACCTTGCAGCATCATCACTTAGGTATACAGGACTTACAAAGGAAAGCCTGCAAAGCCTCTTATACAACAACCTGGCTTATAGCAGCATTGGTATGCAAAGACGGCTGCCCAAATGCCTAGGTCAAACCCATCTTGAGCTACCTTAAGCATTCTGAGTAGACATCAGAGCTTATCAAATAACTAAGCTGGTCTCCCAGCTCTTCTAAATTTCTAGTTTTACAAGAATTCGTGCAGAATGTTTATGTGTTCTGGGTACATGGGGCCAATCTTTACCTGTTTGTCAGAAGGATTTAGACCAGGGCAACAAGTTTCTGAGTGTGAAAAGGAGTGAGGCTTGCTTGCTATTTTCTAAGTGGCACTGACTTTAAGCTTTGTTTTAGGTACATTCAGGACAGAGGTTTCTAGGGATGGAAAACAAGGTGATAAAAGCAACTGTTGATGCCTTTATCCCCCTTTTCATCGAAGGACTTCAAAGTTGAAGACAGTTAATAACCCATCAATCAAATTTATAGGGTTGGTAATACATTTTTTTAAAGCCCTTGAGCTAGTTAGTGTTGTGCTAGTATTTCATTTTAGGCAAATCCTATCCTCCTTTCAGAGTTATTTCTTTCTTTGTGAAACAGAGGTTAAGGGCTGGGGACAGAAGGCTGTTCAGAAAGTGCTTACTCATCACGCACAGAAGTCCTAGGTTTCCTCCTGGACAGCACATAAACCAAGAATGATGGTGCATACCCTTACCCTGGTACTTCAAGCAGAGAATCCTTAGTTCAAAGTCATCTTTGGCTACATAGTAGATTTGAGGCCAGCCTGCGCTACATGAGATGCTACCCCCGTAATATATCCACACACACACAAACCCCCCAAAAAAGGCCAAAGAAGGTATGTATGAGCTGTTCTGACCACACTGTATTCTTGGTAGGACTCATTCGATCCATGCTCAGAAGAGATGAATTTGATGCACAGAAGCTAAGAGTGGGATAGGACCAAGAACATAGTTCTAATTTTTATTTATTTATTTACTATGGGTACTTATTTGTACATCAGTTTTATTTCTGTAAACTACAAAACTGCTTTCTGTGTATTCACTAGAAGCTGAGGAACAAGAGGAAATAACTATTCTCTTGGTGTAATACTCTTCCTCTCAAGATCACCTGTTCTGCTAACTCTTCTCTTTTTCTCTTAATTCTCTCTACAAAGCCCTGGTAAATGAGTTAACCCTTCACACTGAAGAATGACCCTGAACACTATCCCTTCAAACTTTCCAAATACCCATAAAGGCTATAAAATGTGTTTTGTTTTCTTTTTTCCCTTCCAATACTACCAGAGGCATGCAGTAAAAAAGCATGTTTGAAGGACACCAATGTAGATAACCATTTTGGTCTATCTCAAAATAATTCTGAATTACAAGACAGAGGGCAAAGAATGGCTGAATGGTTACAAAGAACTTTCAGGTTTAAGTAAAGTTATCCTCCCTGGGTTAGTTATCTCTATAGAATTCCTTTCAGCTCTGACATTACTGGACAACATACTAAAAAAAAGAAAAAAAAAAAACGGGGATAAAACAGATACTTTTAGTGTTAGCAAAAGTTGATTAGGTACCATTTTCATTATCCAGTTGACATCTGACATGTAAACTAAACTGTCATTTTCATAAATAGAGGCAATGCATATTAAGTCTCTAAATTGAAACAAATAATACTAGCATGTGGCTCAAATGAGATAATTTATCTAGTTTTAGCTCACAAAGGGAGGGTGAAAACACTAGTATTGTTTTCAACCCCATAGTCAAAGTTTGGGAAACTTCAATAAGAACTTCACTCTGTAAGAGGATGAATATGGAAGAAATTCAAGGAAGCAGTCTGAAATTAATATGGCAGGGAGTGAATTCCTTAGGGACTATTACTGACATCCCCAGCATGCACAACAACCTCATGACAGAGATACCCCATCTTAGGATTAAGTCACTCTCCTCATGGGTTTTCAACTTGTCCAGTGTCATCTATAAGTTCAGAAAAAGTCAGAACTGCCTGTAAGCCCCAACTCCGGGGTGTGGAATTATGAAAATCCATTCATTCATTCATTTGTACACCGTCAAGAAATTGGCATATAAAGGACTAAGAAAATAAGTGATGAGGATGCAGGCAAAATAGAAAATTCTTCAAGAAGCCTTTAAAAAAAAGCCACCTAGAAAACAAAAAAGAAAAAAAGAAAGAAGAAAGGAAGAAAGAAAGAAATGATGGCCTTTTTAGAATGAACAAGCAGTATGGGAAAGGGACCCCAGAGAATTAGATCACACCATCCAATCCATTGTTAAGTTACTTCAAAATTCTACAAGGGATTCTCCAAAAAATACTTTAGGAAATAAGCCTATCCAGTCCTATCCATTCTTAAAATAAGTTCAACCTTAGGTAGGGAAAGCAGCATTACACCTGCAAAGATCCTTGAGTACAGACCAGTATGGGTTCAAAACACTTCTACTTCAAGGACACAGGAATCTGAAGCCAGAGTCCCACCTCTTTCAAGCTGATTAACCTTAATCAAGTATCCATTCTCTATTTATAGCATGGAGACAGAATTTACTTTTACAGACATTAACTAAAATTGTTTAGAGCTCATGTTATAGTTGGGACCTGGATTGGTCATTTTCCCATGGACTGGCCACAGGAAGCACCAGACTACCTCTTGTAGTTCATCCAGGAATCCAAGCCCCTTTGGCCTCAAGCAGCCCTGTTTCCGCTAAACCCCATCTCAGTCATCCCTAGAGGTTATGTAAACTACTGAGCTTGTAAAGTGGGAGGAAAAGATGTAGCCTGTTTTGTTTTCCTAAACTTTTGGCCCACCTGTGGGGGTTATTACTCTGGGCATGCCTCCGGGACTAAGGAAGAACCAATTGAATGATCGTCTGCCCTAGGGTGAAGGGTTGGGGTTCTCAAAGGAAACCACACTTGGAAGCAAGAGTTTGGGAATGGAGGTGGAAGGCTTCAGTAAACTAAAAACCAGGAGATAGCATGAGTGGGTCCACTACGTTTTTTTCCCCCTCAATGTTTTGAAGAGTCATCAGGGGTCTCTGCAGTTCTGCCAATAAGTTTTGAATCCTATTCTTTATCCATCTTTAAAATACTAGACTTGTAATTATGGCTCACACCTACTAAGTGAGTACTTAAAGAGATCATGGTTAGCACTCAGTGAGCTTGTTAGGGAATGTCAGCTAACATTTGGGGAACAGACTGACTTTTGCAGCATTCAGAGAAGGGGAGGTCCCAAAGCCTGGACAAGGACCTGAGTAACCAGAGATAGGCCAAGCGGTTCTGAGAACAAGGGGGTCCAGGTGAGGGCAGGCTGCCTGCTGTATTCTAACCTTTGAGTGAAGTCTCTACCAGGCGCAGGTACAGCTGTGAGTTCTTGTTGCCGTGACTCATGCGCTGGGCTAACCCGTTGCGCTGCAGGACGCACTCCTCAAACTGCACGATATTCTGGTGACGGCGCTTCAGGCTGGTCAGGGCCCAGAATTCAGCTAGTGCCAATTCCACGTTCTCGGGGGCGTCGCAGCGGATCTTCTTGACTGCCACCCTGGCCCCACTGCGCCCAGCCACAGCCTCGTAAACCACGCCGTAGCTGCCGCGCCCGATCTCCGCCAACAGGCTGTAGCGCGGCCGCGCAGGACCACCGCCGCCGCCGCCCTCCGGCCGCCGCCGGGCCAGGAAGGCCTCGCCCGGGGCCTCGACCATAGCGGGATCCATGGCCTGGGCCGCCGGCCTCAGCTTCGTGCAGAGCGCCCGCTGCACTGGGCTTCGCCTTTTCCGCTCCGGACTTTTTGTCCCTCTGCGGGCTCCGTTCTCCTTCCCCGTTTCCATGGCTGCGGGAGGCGGGGGGAGCAGCAACGGCGCCGCCCGGGCCCCCCCTGCCTCATCCCTCCGTCTAGCCCCGAGATGTGGAGGAGCGGTGCCTTGGATTGTGATCTGAGGGCGAAACAATCAGTTAAAACCACTAGGCCGACAAGGGCAGACAAGGAGCTGAAAAGTACCGAGCGTCCCACCTCCGCCGCCGGTAGCGGCCCCTTTAAGAAGGAGCCGCCGCCTCGGATTGAACGGGGGAGGGGAAAGGAAAGCGGGAAAGACGGAACCACCGGGAAGTACAGAGGGAGGACCGGAAGCCGAAACACAAACCGTCCACTTTCTCCATTGATTTATCCGTCAACAGTAGCGGGGAGAAGCAATAGGGACCTTGACCATCTGAGACAACCGTCTCCGGGGCGGTTCGGCCTGCCTAAACTTTCCTGGTGCTCAACCCCCTCCCAACAGCCACCTCCCCGCGTCCTCCCCGGAGTCTCCCGGTGTAAACAGTCCTTTGAATTAAACCCAACCGAGCCCAGCGGGTCGACCCAAGCCCCTGGGGACAGCGGGTGCAGACTGACAAAAAGTTCGGCTTCGGAGAACAAACCGAGTCCCCGACGGCCCTCCCCGAGTGCTGTGGGCTGCTGGCTCTCCCGCTTCGGCCCTCCCTTCTCCATTCGCTCTCACCTGGCCGGCGCTGTTCCACTTCCGGGCGGACCGGTTCCCCCCTGGAGCCCGCGCCCGAGGATGGTCGGTTCCGAGCAGGGCTTGTCTGCCGAGCCGAGTGGAGCGCGAGGCGGTGACCCGGGCGGGACGTGTGTTCGGTCGCGGCGCTGCTCCCGTAGTGACAGCAACGCTCTCGGGGGAGGCCCCGGCTTCCAGATTCCCGTGTCCGTCCTCGAGTTCGCGCCAGCTGAGCACTTTACGTAACCTCTTTATGTAAGCCGCACCTCCCGCCGCTGCTCTGGTCAGTGGAGATTCCTGGTGGCCCATCCCCCAGGAGGCCAACCGAGGGCTGCGCCGCCTCTGTACTACCGAGGTCGACCCAGCAGCCGCGACAGCCCGGAACCAATCACCGGCGAGAACACCCAGCCAACAAAAAGAGCGCGCCAAAATCCCGCGACCTGCACAGAGGGCCCTCGCGAGTCGTCTGCGCTCTGCAAGCCCCTCTCCGCGTCTGACCTGCATGGTAGCTCCACGCCGGCACTTTATGCTGATTGGGTGAATAGCCTAGGTTTGATTGATCCACAGCTCAGGCCTGGGTTGGAATGCTGATCCTCACGCCCACTAATGATCCCAGTGATCTCAGCCGCGCGTAATCCGCAGTATCCTTCACTGCCAAACCCGGTGGTCCTCACTTCCCAGGTTGCAAAGGACCAATTGAAAAATGATGGCTGGCTAATTGAGTGCCCGATATAAGCTGCTTTGGGCTTGGATTTGGGATCCGTTCCTCCCTGGCCGCCCGTTGTAGGGGGAGGGAGCACACAATGCCTATGTAGTTAAGAATGATCTTCAACTTTTCCTCCTGGCTTCATCTCGTGAGTAATGAGATTAAAAGCGCATACTGCCACACCCTGTTTAAACTTTGTTAGGAATCAAACCCAGGGCTTTGTGCATGCTAGGCAAGCAATTTTCCAACTGAGCTACACCCCCAGCCCTTATGCATGGATTTTTAAATATTCTGTGGCCCGCTTTGTACCCCATTGCCTAGAAAATATACAATTATTTGTTAGCTGAATCTCCAGATGTTGAAGGACATAACTAGAGGTTCTGGTACATGATATTTAAGTCTGGGGAAAGAGCAGTGGGCGTGACATTCCGTGGCACTGGAGGAGACAATCAACCTTATGTCTTCATAGAGGTTTACAGAGTTAAAGAACCGAGAACAGAACAGAGTTTTGCAAAATAAATGGTAGACATTGTAAGTGAAACAAGATAGATTAAATGTACGGGAATAGAATGAACTAGAGTTTCTGAAATTTGGGGACAGACCACTTAAGATACCACAAGCACTGAAAGCCTCTAACTTTTGTGTATGTTAAGTATCAGTGTACAAAGTGTAAGAATAGTAGAGAAGTCTCACCCTTGTCAGAATTACATTGTTTTGTTATATTTTCATGTTTTGTGAACATAAGTATATGTATACATACAAATGTATACATCTTGTATATGTGTATATTCTTTTATAAATCTTTTTAAATTTAGATGTCATACTGCTTTATCTCTTTATCTATTTTATTTCCTGAAGACAAAGATACACTCTTGCACAATCTCAATACAACGATCAGGAATGTTAACAATACCATGTTTTTGTTTAATATGCCTTTCCTTTCTCTTCCATTCCAATATTCTACCAGTCATCAGTCCCCATCCCGTTGGGTTAGGATTATCCCAACAGCCTTATTTTAACTTTTTTTGAGACAGGTTTTCTCTGTGCAGCCCTGACTGTCCTGGAACACCCTCTGTAGACCATGCCGGCTTTAAACTCGAGGATCTGCCTGTCTCTGCCCCTCCCAAGCATTGGAATTAAAGGTGTGTTCCACAACACTTGGTAATTTAAGCTTTTTAAAATATGGTTAATAACCTATTGGGGGTTGTAACTTCACATGATTTTGAGGTAAGGGCGTAATTTATTTGGTAGCAATCTCCAGGAAATGACATTGGTATGCTTAATAAATGTCAAGAAGCTAGTCATGCCATAACTAGTGGGGACATTTCAGGGAGAGGAAACAGCAAGTGACACCATAAGAACAAGACTGGCACTAAACTTCGGTCAATTAAAGAGACTACTAGAAATCAGATGGTGGTGGCAAATGCCTTTAATCCCAGCACTTGGGAGACAGAGTCTGGTGGATCTCTGAGCTCGAGGCCAACCTGGTTTACAAAGCTATACTGAGAAACCCTGTCTCAAAAAAAAACAAAACAAAACAAACCAAAAACAAAAAAACCAGAGAGAGAGACTACTAGAATGTAAAACAGCTTGGGTGATGGCTCAGTGGTATAGTCATTTGCCAAGTGAACCTGGTGACCTGATTTCAGTTCCCTGAGCCCACAAGAAGGAAGGAAGAGAACCAACTCCAGAAACAGCTGTTCCCTATCCTCTACCCTGGTGCCCACAATCATACAGAGATTGGGGGTGAAACCAGGGTGTGAGTCTTCTACAGCTGCAAAAGTACCTGATAAACCCTGAATTCAAATTTTATTCTTTATTCTCGGCTTGCCTAAATTACTAAAGTAACCTTCACTTCCTTTTGGCTTGCTAGCTAACATTTATGAGCATTTTCAATCTTCTGAGCACAGAGATTGACCAAGAGCCCATGACACCCTTGAAAAACACACACAGTAATAAATAAAAATTTAAAAGTCATTTTCTTTTAAAGCTAAATGTATGTCTGCCTGTGGCCCAGCTAATGTTATGTCTAGGCATTTGCCTAAGATAAATGAAAACTTGATTCACAAATAGACTTTTGTATCTAGCTATTCATAGTGCCTCTTCCCATGAGAGTCCAGAAACTGGAAGACACTCCTGTGTTCATCAGTAAATAAATAGACAAATTGTATCATCTCCATACAATGGGAACAAAAGCAGAATTGAGACTGGACACATGGATGGATCAAAATAATGCTGAGTGAAAGGATCCAGGCACAAAAGAACACGTGGTGGGTGACTCTTACACAGTTCTGGAAAGAAATACGACCTAATTTATAGTAGAGGGTGGGTAATGGAAAATAGAGGGAAAATCTTTTGGGGATGAAAATATATTCATTATTTCATGTGGTGATTGTTTTATTAGGAAATGGTAGAATACCTGAAATTGTGCCTTTCCATGGGTTTGGTTTATGTCTATCCACCTTTGAGCTTCACCTCTAAAAATGGGCTAGGGATCCTACATAGTGTATGATTCTATTAATATAAAGTGCTCTCACTAGCCTTTGGTAGCAGAAATGTCAGTACTTGACTTCTGGGTAGGAATGAATTGCCAAGGGACACAAGGATGATGGAATTTGTGAATTATACCATAATAAAGTTTAATTAAAAGTTGAAAAACAGCCAGGCAGTGGTGGCGCATGCCTTTAATCCCAGCACTTGGGAGCCAGAGGCAGGCAGATCTCTGATTTCGAGGCCAGGCTGGTCCACAGAGTGAGTTCCAGGAGAAGCTCCAAAGCTAAGAGAAACCCTGTCTCAAAAAACAAAAATCTGCAAAACAATGCTTTTTTGGTGCACATCTTTAATCCCAGCACTCAGGAGGCAGAGGCAGGTGAGGCACCTGAGTTCAAGGCCAGTTCAAGGAACAGAATGAGTTCCAGGACAGCCAGGGCTATACAGAAACCCAGTCTCAAAACAAACAAACAAATAAACAAAAAATAAAAAACATTCTAAGAACCAGCTAAAAAACAAAAGCCTGAGCCCCCACAGCCATGAAAATGTGTGCTTTAAAGGAGAAGCTTCTGAGACCAGAGCGCTGTGTGGCACAGCCAGGCTCCGCCCCTCCCACCCTGAACCTCTCTCCTAGTGACTCATCACTGAATTTGGAGAGATTGGGCATGACATTTTTTGGGTTTTTGGGAGCACTGTGGTTGTGAGTCTTCTGCAGCAGTCATATTACCTAATAAAGCTTTTTTGGGGTTGCTTAAATTACAAACATAACCTTATTTACTATTGTGCCTGACAGCTAACATTTCAAGATTGACAAAGAACCCATGACATTGTGGACATAGTAACCACCTATCATTAGCCCAAATTCTTCAACTAGGTTTGGATCCGAAGCCTCAGGCATTTCATACCCTCTCTGGGGTTAGCAAATTGGTGCTAGGGGTGGGGACAAGGTATTTTAGGATGGATGGTTTGGGAAATAGGGGATCACTGAGCAAAATTTTGATTTCTGTAAAAGAATAACCAAATGTACTTCTACTAAGAAAGTATTCCACCAAGCAGTGGTGACACACACCTTTAATACCAGCACTACAGAGTAGAGGCAGTTGGATATCTGTGATTTCTAGGCCAGCCTGGTCTACAGAGAGAGAGAGTTCCAGGACAGGCTCCAAAGCTACACAGAGAAACGCTGCCTTAACCCCCACCCTCACCTCGGCCGCCAAAAAAATTATTCCATACCAGATAGGAGAGCAAATGCAAAGAGGCTGAGGTAAGAGTGCCCCAGGAAGCCAGTGGGACAGCTAAGAGCAGTAGGAAACAGGTGTTTGGGGACCCGCTATAAGGCAGGCACAGAGACCACGGTAAAGGTTTAGGGCTTACCGAGATGATCGGAGCAGCTGGCTACTAGATATAGCCGTCCCTTCCTTTAAGAGAGCTGAGGCTCAATTATGTTAAGAACTGCCCCTCAAAGTGAGCAGGCTGAAGGTTGATGCTGGAACAGGGAATCCCGCCCCCTTCTCCATGCTCACTCCAAAGGACTAAGAAGACACAAAAAACACCAGGCCTGGTTCTGGTTCTATGAGAAAATGGGGGGGTTCTGGTTTGCAGAGGAAGATTGTGGGGAGTAGAAGAGTGAAGAAGGAATGAGCAAACAGCTGATAGCTCTAGAGGCTAGGGGAAAGTTAAGGGGAGAGATAAAGGAAGGCCACTCTGGGCCACACTATGGAATGGTGATTATAACAGGGTGAGTGGGCTGTCCTTATCTACTGTCTACCATCCTTGGTAGATGATAGTACCAGGATACAGGGGGAATGGTTGCTTGGCGAGGGAACCTCAATGGGGTGATACTCGACAAGGGACATTGGAAATAGCCTGGGCAGACCAAGCAGCTAGTTTGAGAAGTTCCCCTGAGTAGCAAAACTGTAACTTCATGGACTCTCTATTATCTGTATTGTTTTGTTTTTATCTCTGAAACCAGAAATCTGACAAAAAGCAAATTGAGAGAGGAAAGAGTTATTATTCTAGCTCATAGTTCAGAGGAATGCAGTCCATCATGACCAGGAAGACACATCGATGTCCAAGGTATTGACCAGGAAGAAGAGAAAGGCACTTCTCTTTCCTTTTCATGGGATACTGCCACTCACTGCAGAACGGTTTGAGTCATTTCTCAGTTAAAACGGTGAAAGACAAATATTCCTATGGTTGTGCCACATTAATACCCTAGGAATTTCGGAATTCTACTACTTCTTCTCCTTCTTCTCCTCCTCCTCCTCCTCCTCCTCCTTCTCCTTCTTCTCCTCCTCCTCCTTCTCCTCCTCCTCTTTCTCCTTCTTCTCCTTCTCTCTCTCTCCCCTCTGTTTTGTTTTTGACACATGGTTTCTCTTAATAGCTTTGGCTATTAAGGCTGACCTCGAACTCACAAATTTTACTGCCTCTGCCTCCTGAAT